TTTTTTTGAGATGGAGTCTCACTCTGTCACCCAGGCTGGAGTGCAGGGATGTGATCTCGGCTCACTGCAAGTTCCGCCTCCCGGGTTCATGCCATTCTCTTGCCTCATCCTCCCGAGTAGCTGGGACCATAGGCACTCGCCACCACGCCCAGCTAATTTTTTGTATTTTTTAGTAGAGATGGGGTTTCACCGTGTTAGCCAGGATAGTCTCGATCTCCTGACCTCATGATCTGCCCGCCTTGGCCTCCCAAAGTGCTGGGATTACACGTGTGAGCCACCGCACCCGGCCAAAATTTGGTTTTTTTTTTCAGTCATTACTTATTAAATGCTTTTTAAGCCCCACACTCTTTCCCCTCTTTTTTCTGAAGCTCTAATGGTATGAATGTTATTAGCTCTTCCTCATTGTTCCAGGGATTTCTGAGGCTCTGTTGGTATTGGCATCAGTGGGTTGCTTTTCTCATTCAAATGTGATATTTCTGGTTCTTGGTGTAATGAGTGATTTTTAAATTATATCTTAGACTACTTGGTTATTATGTTAGAAGAGTTTATTTCCATTTATGTCTGTTTATTCAGCACAGTCACTGTGTTTGGGTGTAGCATGTTTTCTCTGGGTTACTTCTGTGGGCTTTCGTTGCAGTGACAGTCTCCTTCCCTGAGCCGTCTTGTGCTGCTGAGGCTCCCCTCAATTCCTGTTTGGTGCTGTCTGCAGGGGTGGAAGGCATGTCCCTGGGCTGCCTGCTGTTGCTGGGTGACCTTCTGGGATGGGGAGCAGACCACAGACTAAAAATACAGGAAAAATAAGCCCCTCGCCTAGTAAGTACTCAGCAGATGTTGTTTTATGATTGACGTTACCACCATCGTTTTCCTGACCTCTCTCTTCCTATGGGCTTTACAGTTATGGAATTACTTGCTGAATCCTGAACAAGAAAGGAGTGTGGAGCGTGCACCATCCTTTCTGTGGTTTCCCGCCTATCCTACTCGGCCTTTAAGAGTCTTCCCTGCCATCTCCCCCAGAAGACGTATTTAGCAGCTCACCCAGCTAGAGTAAGACACATCCTACACTGGGCATGAACTTTTACTGCTTTTGGCACAGTGTTAGGTCATCATTTTCTAGGCATCCAACACCATCCCGTGAACCCCCTTCAAGGCACAGAATTTGGTCTGGTTTTGTAAGTTATGTCCCAGATCTATCAAAATGCCTGGCACATGGTACTTCTGTCTATTGAAATGAAAGGGAGTAAAGCCGATGAAGGAGCCTTAGGTAAGAGCAGCTGGATGGGTCAGGGCATGGGGTTCCCCATCATGGCTGAGAAAGTCTTAATGGGAGAGTGCCCATGGTATACGGTGAGGCTTGAGATGCCTTGGGTGGGGTGGAAGCTGGGTGTTTGCTGGATCTTTGTCATTCCTTAGGCTATCAGTCTCTGCTCCCTTCCTATCCTGATTTCTGGGGTGGGGGCAGAGTCTGTTCACCTATGGAAGTTGAAGGGTCTGGCCTCGCTTTAGCTAGAGTGTGGGTAATGTGACCCAGGCACCATCAGTCAGAATAACCTCCTAGGCGTTGACTTGAGAGATTGTGACTCCAGATGGCAGGTCCAGCAGAGAGAACCTTGGCAGTGGTGGCAGATGCAGACCGATGCAGCTCCTGGGGTGGCAGTGGCAGTGAGCTCTGGTCCATCTCTTGTCGATACTCCCAGTGCCAGCGAGGAAAGCCACAGCGTCCAGCACTCTGCAGTGGGACTGCAGCGGGGCCCCCACCAGGCAGCCCTGCAGCAGGATTGGGGGCCTCGTTCCTGGTGAGAGGTCCCAACCCAGGTTATCCTATCCATTGGTGATGCTGTAAGCCGTCCCGATGTCCTTTATCATAAATTCCTTCCTGCTCGAATCAACCACAGTTGGTTTTCTTGCTTACAACTGAAGCTGGAGTGATACAACGGAACTGAGATGAGGGGGAGGTTGAAGGA